GCCGTTATGCAAACTCACTCTTTGATCTCAAAACAGTGAAAGGTGGCTTTATCTTAGAAGAACTGCGAGACAGACGATCAGAGACTTTAGCAGACCCTCAAGAGAAATCCAAAGGAGAATAGAAAAGGAAAGACAAGAGGAAGGAAGAGACAGAGAAACAGTGGCAGGGGACGGGGTGAGTACAACCAAAACAAAGAGTCTGCTCTTGTAGGGGAGACAAACCTATATACACCTGACTCAACACACCACACATGCTGAGCTTTCTGAGGCCTTTCTAACTAAAACACGATCACTACAAACACAACGATTTCAACTTAATCTCCTGGTCAAATTAAAATGACTATTTCTGCATTTACCCTGTATCATTGTACTGCATAATGTTGTGTACTTATATGTCACTTGAGTACTTGAAAAGTGTATTACTTTGACGGAACCTGACTCTAACACAGTGATTTCTACTGTATACAGTAGATGTACTGTATGAGTGTGAACTTTCTTGTATAGTTTTTTTTTTATTGTCATGTTTCACAATCATGTAATTTGTCGTTGTTCTGTTTTGTTTTGAATCCAAGGCCGTGGCTATTAATCCAATTAAACTATAACTGAACTGAATCTAACTAAAAGTGAACTAAGTCGGCACAGATGCAGAGACTTACAGAGACACGGAGAAAACTAAAGCCTGAGGATTTTCAAAGCTAGGACAGCGAGATTGCCCTTGCAGTAGGACCACCTAATCAATTTGATTAGAGTGTGAAAGGACACTTAAGATCTCAATTGCAAGCGCATTAGTAGTCTACTCAGCCCCTGCCTGGAATCCAATGGCTAATGTTTGGGGTAGTGGGGGGAGTTTAAAAAGATTATTTGATTTCACTTAGATATGCCCCTGCATGTGAAATCAAATAGCGATTAGATAATGCGTGTGCCAAATATGAAAGGGCCAGCTTCATTTGAGACATTGATTTGCATTTCAAATGTTTTTTTTTTTGGCCAAGCCAGAAAAACAACAGTCAGCCCTGCAATATATTTAAAAAAGATTCAAATAGCGAGACCTATTAGATGACAAGATTACTATATTTACTGCTTCGCCACTGATCTAGATGAGACTTTTAAGAGGCCTTAAAAAAGTGTTTAAAATGATAAGCTGGGATGTAGATAGCTGAGCAAAAGTTTTCTTTCTGCTCTTGGTCAAAGAGTGCAGCAGTAGGCAAAAAGTAATAATTCAGTCTGCAAAAAAAATAAAAATCCAGGGAGGATCAAGGGGCTGAGCATATTTCCTATTAGAGCTACTTTATGTTCATCTTGAAAGAAGAGAAGAGGAGAGTGGATGTCAGTAGGCAGGTTATTCTCACTTTGTTTCCTTTATACTCTCTGTTGTTTTATGTCTGGCTTCAGCGTGCAACTTTTCAGTGATGTCTTTTCAGACTGAGACGATTCTTCGGAAAGGTGGTTGACAGTTAAGTCGCTACAGCAACAAAGATCTGAAGGAAAGATCCTGATCACAAATAAAAATATACATATATTGTAAATCTATATTTAGTATATGTACTGAGTATATTTCTGGCACATGTGATACCGTTTACACTGAACATGTTTGTAATTGGGACAACAAGCACGAAGCATTAGGGCTGTAATTTTAAACATTGATTTGAATGTGAAGGGAAAACTTCATATTCTTACTGATTGGATTTAAATCAAAATATAGTCTCAGAGAACATCAGATCATCGTACTTGTGATCCAGCAGAGGGCGATCTCTATCCGCTTGACCTATTGCATGCCCCCCTAAACTATCAGTAAAGTTAAGTAAGAAGGTAATGAGCACGTCACAGAAGCATTTGAGAAGCAGCGTGTTAGAAGTATTTTGAGATCTCGGGGAAACAGATTTCGCAGACAACAAAATAACAAACAAAGGTCAGGCTGTTAATCGACTTTGTACCATGCAGCTGTCTTAGCAACAAAAAATCTGCAGCGGCTGCGGAGGAGGCACCACGGACGGCTCATTTGACTGTACACGTGCTAATTGTTCGGATATATTCACTTAAATTATGTTTATTTTTTAATAATAACCATGCGTTTCAGGGACAGGGCAACACAAACTCAGTGCCTGAGTTGCATTCTAACACAGGCCATATAAAAGTGATCAGGTAAATGTCTATACCTGCCAATATCGAGAAAATAAATAAATCAAGGCCATGGAATTTTCTCAATTACGTGTCCGGGCTGTATACACACAAACTCATTGGCTTGACACTGTGTGAGTGGCGCTCTGCACTGCCACTACATTCTGTAAGTCATTCATCTGCAAAATAAAAAATAAAAAAAATCATCCGGCAGTCAAAACCTCATTACACTCTCACCTCTTTGACGTGAATATGGGGCTGCATCGAGTCACAGAAGAGGCAATTGGATTTGATCTGTCACTTTCCCATAAATATGTTCATTCAAGGCCTGTGGATTGCTTCAGCTGTGGCGCTCATCGCTTTCAATTCTTCAGCCCTGGATCCAATTTTCACAAAAACGTATTGGTGAACCAAAATAGCAATGGAGCTCTTGATTGCAGGTCGCCTGGTTAAAGTTAAGACTGTCGCTTGATAGGGTATTATAAAACCATGCACACACACACACACACACATATCACATGCAAGATTTCAGAGGGAATAAAGTTTGCATCAGATCCTGAGATAGTTCAGGTGGTTTTCATATGTCTAATATTGTTTTCCAGCTTTCATCCAACACACATGTACTTCAGTCTCACAGTGAGACTAATCATCACAAACATAGCATCATATCCAGCCAATAGAGATGACTCAGATCACCAAGGGAACAGAACAGATCTCCTTTATGCTATTTCTCTTTTTTTTCCTCACATACTTCCCGTCCGTTTGTCAGTTTGTCTGTCGCCTCGTGTCTCTCCACATGTCTCTCTCGCAGATTCCCTGTGTCCTTGCCACCACTTTTCTCTCATTCTATCTTTCACGACCTCTACCTCCCTCTCCCCCTCCTTTTTCTCTCCGTCTCAGGCCATCGAGCTCATCCAGGCGGTCTGATTGAGATCGTCTTAGAAAAGGTAACGGAGCCTTTGCAGCAATCTCAGACAGGATGCAAGCACGCGAGCGCTGAGGGGCCCATACAGACACATATACACAGGCACTTGTGCTAATATGCTAATGGCCGTCCTGGGGCAAGGGTGAGAGCGGTCGCAGCATTTGCGGCTCTCAGTTTTTATTGGTGTTTGTGATGGGGTGCGCTGTTTGTGTTTAGAACATTGAACATCTCATCACTTTAGCCATTACCGCAGCCGCCGCCAAGGACGGAGGGGCTGAAGACAGGACGCCGGGTGTTTAAAGAAAGGATATATCAACAAATACATATCTGCGTATAACGTTGGGGCACTGGCCGTCATTTACTGACGTACGATTGTACAAAAAGCGATTAGAGGAATGCAATAATTTTCAAGAAGCAATCATGTCCCTGCAGGATATGAAAGGGGGTTTGTGTTTTGTTTGTATTGTTATGTTCTTATCTGTTTGTGTGTGTGTGTGTGTCGATTTGTGATGGTGCATGTTTTTGCTTGTGTGTGTGTGTGTGTGGGTGTGTGCCTGGCTACTGCTTATGTAAGGCACTAATTGTCATGCAGTGCGCAGGGTGCAGACACCGAGCACAGACGTGAAGCTTTCTCCAAGCGATGAATATTAAAATAATTACAAATAATAAATCCACAGATGCAAAGGACAGCATGTAAACATCAAAGGACTTTCTGCTTCTCACTGATATGCTAATTCAAACATATAAATATATGTGTATGTTTATTTTATTTTGTATTTACACCTATGTACTTCTGAGTGTCTGACTATGTGTTAGCAAGTGTGTTTTTCTAATTGTGTGTGTGAGTGTGTGACGGTGGAGTTGTGTATATCTGTGTGTGTGTGTGTGTTGTGTGCATGGTTATGAATCCAAAGTTGTACATCAGAGGAATAAGCAAATGAACGTTAGCCTGGAAATCACAGTGCTTCTGAGAGAGGGACACAGATATCTGAATTAATAAGCATGTCTCACAACTAAACACGATTTCATGTGGTTCCAAGGACGCTAACACACACACACAGACACAGAATCAAATTCAATCTCGAGTAAATTGGTTAAAATCCCACAAATTGGTGGAATGCAATGCTGTTACCGGATAAGAGCTCACTGTGTGTAGTTTGCCCTGCGATTTATTAGATGAAGCAACTTGGTTAAAATCTCGAAAGATCTTGAAAGCCTCTGTGTTCGGAGTTAATATCGGCTGCTGTCATGACATCAGAGAATAATTTAAGAATGAAGAGGTTTAAATATGGATGAAAATAAATCAAAGAGAATGAGGAACCGCATTCAGCGTTGGTTAGGAAGAAGTGCCATCAATTTTGCATGAGAGGTTTCTTGAGCAATTTGCAGCGTGTGTTAGCGACGGCTTCGGAGAGAGACCCACCACAATCACTTACAATTTGTTCGCCCTCTCTTGAACTCATCATCCAATATTTGGATTCAGGTTCGTCTTTTGGTCTCATTATTTGGAATCTACTCCATTAAATCCATTAACATGAATTATTTTGCCGTCTAATACAAATGATAACAATTAGAAATGAATGAGTTGTTATTTATCGCTACATAGGTGCCAGAAACAGGTATTATGAGCGTTTTGTTCTCAACCGATTTATCACAGGGTTCCATAAATCAGCTCTGACACTGTTGAACATATTTCTAATGTGATATCAGTCACATATGCCAGAATGTCCCATTGCTGCTGAACATTATCCACAGTAAGCTGCGGTCTTTACATTTTTTATTTTCCCCCTGCCCTTCAGACAACCATTAACCTCTTAAGCTCTCGGGGCACTGGTGAAGAAATGTACAAAACAACTCTCTGACAGAGTGACATGGAAGAGCAATGTCTATTTTCCTCAACAACAACAAAAAAAGTTACAAATCCAGATTTTTCTCTGTTCTGTGTGTGTATAACTCACCAGGGCTCAGGTCTTGAATGGGCCAATAACCGGCCAGCGTGGTGTGAAATCAGGGCCCTACAGGAGAGAAGAGAAACTGGGTGATTGGTGCTTCATTCGGGCAATTGCTCATGCCAGAGGCTCCCTGACACCGGAGGGGCTCTCCGCACAAATTGAAGCACACATTAGGAGTCGAGCTGGCCGGGGAAAAGGAACTGGACTCTCTGCTTCTCCTTGGCAACTGTGCCATCCTGGCCTGATTAATTTTTCCTTAGGTTAGCTGCATTATCCCATTCTGTTCCATTACCGGCTCACATCTCTCAGTTCATATTGTTAAGTCTGAGAGGAGGAAATGTAACGAGTCAGCACATATCATTGAGTAATGGTGCTGGAAGTTTTACACAGGAAAAGAAAAAAAAATACAGACAATGTCATTTCTTTTTGTCTCCTCCCCATGTCGCCTGCAGGAGTCAGGCGACTTTAATGTTGTATTCACAAAAGGCCATTATATTTGTTTTCTTTTTGTCACCGGTGTTCATGTTCAAAAGGTGAGACAGCATTCACTCAAAGTCAATCACAGCACAGCGGCTCACAAGCGCTTCTTTTTCTATAACCACACAATTACAATATTTATGAGAACTCCTGCTGATGGAAAGACTATTTCCCATTTCTTTTGTGGCCCTCGTTCTTTTCTGTGGGCATTTTTTAATGAAAAGTGTGGCGGTGAATCACTCGGGCATTCTGCGGGGGCTTGTAATTTCCACAACACGATGATGTGAATACTATGAGCTGATCGTCCTAAAGACACTGACAGGGCCCAGAATAAATACATTAACAAAACACAGGAGAATAAAGGGCAGAATCCCTTTTCATGTAGCCCCACTTTGCCCCTGAGAGCCTCCAATAATGAATCACACGAAATGACAGAAAAATGAAATGTTCAATACAATGACCTTACACAGTGAGAGAAAAATCATGAGAGAGTGAGGCGAAAAGACTGCATTTAAAAGAGGAGCGGACAAAAAGGGGAGCGCAAATGTTCCCATCAGGGTGAATATCTTCTAATACACTTCCGCCGGGGTACAATTATTGATAGCGAGTGTATGATTGTGTGGGGGGGTGGGGGGTGCAGCGGCATTAAAAATACTCAGAGCACCACTGCTTCTGCGGCACCGCCTCTCCTTCATTCCATTAGGCCACACTGCTATAATATGCATCAGAATTGCTGGTATGTCGTCGATCCTGCGCTCCGGCAGGAGCTGTGAAATCTCTATCATTTGAACTTGAGGGTTGTGTCCCGGCGAGAGATGACTTATTCATGGCATCGTGTGCGCACCAGGGTAAGATTATCTACCCATGGGGCCCACCCCCTCACCAAGGGCATTCTAACGAAATGTTAACCTGTGGTATATAACACTTTATCTGCAGCCAGAGGCGTCTGTTACCTTAAACAAGAGGGCAAATTATTACAGGAAAAGATTTCCAGCAGGTAATTTAAAAAAAAAAAAAAAGCTGGGTCTGTGTACTTGGCTCTGGAAACACAGGTCAGCAAAGATTAAAAAAATAATTAGTAAAATGTCTCCAAGGTGTTTAAAGGGCTCTCCAGCAATTCACCGTCGCACTTTCATCATGTGAGGCGACTCACATTTAAACAAAGTCTACAGGGAGGTGAGCAACACTGAGGCTGTACTCACACACAGCAACCCTTTGAGCTAAAGGCTCAACAAGCTAACATGTTCACAGCGTAGACAGTGACTAAAAATGAAACGGCATGACTGCTCCCCATAAATGAAGTCAAAGTATCTTGATTGCCCCCTGGTGGCTGGCTGCAATATAGTTATTTTTAATGCCATAACAATGGGGTGAAACTTAAGGATTAAGAGCTGAGACTTACGAACTGGTCGAGGGGTTGTATCGGCTGGACCACGAAACCCAGCTCCATCTGCGAATCACAGCAACAACAATGACAACATGTTCACAGCACTGAAGTATCCTAACCAGAGTCTTTACAATTCATCTGCAGCTTCAAAAATCCTGGATCTTCAAGCAGCACACTCAGTTTACAGCGAAGGCTCAGGTCTCATAAACAAGATCACCTCTGATAATGGAACTGTGAACACTGACAGGCTGAGTGGGACTAGACAATTGAATCATTATGTGAAATGTGAAATATCTTTCAATATATCAGAACAAGCCTGATCAATGCTGAGAACATGGATTCTCACTTGAGTCCTGCTCTACACTAAAAACACCACGTTCCTCCAGTGTCTCAGTCTTGTCAGATCTTAAAAAAACTGCTGAAAGTACGCCAGAACTTTACACAGACCTAAACATAAAGTTGGTGCAGCTCAAGTATACATTTTAAATGGCACTCACCTCTAATTAACTATGTCAGGTTTGTTTTTTTCTTTCTCCTACTTCCTGAGGCAATTACATGTGCAGACACAGCCGAGACGACAACAGTGTGGAAACATCCGTGTGACAGCTATGAGGTGACACACTTAATTTCACTTAATGCATTCACCTGGAACCCCAGGTGTTAAACAAATCCTGATTAGATTACACTTCATCCTGCTGCAATTAAACCCAGCAGGGCTCTGCATCCTGAGGCAGGACAAGTATCAGACACACACGCACGCACACACACACAGACACACACAGGCACGCACACACAGACACACACACACACACACACACACAGGCACACACGCACGCACACAGGCACACACAGGCACACACACACGCACGCACGCACACACACACAGCTGTCTGGGGTAATGGAATGAAGCCTGCCACAGAAGAAACACACACAGTCATGCACATCCCTCATCATGTATTATGTGTTGCATGCATATCCATATCTGTGGGAATTCCTGCAGAGCTACAGTGAGAGAATTGTGGGTAATGGTGGCACCTTCTCCAGGGACGCAACCATTTCATGGCTGGTCACTCTGGCCTCTCCAAGCATTGTGCTGTGATCGATCCTAACACACACACACACCCTCTTCCTGCCTCTCGCAGCAGCGTCCCTCCCTCCCTCCTTCTCTCCCAGGACATTTTACGCTGGCTTACGCACTGATGCATTTGATTGCACAGCACCTCACCAGGGCCAACTCATCAAAAACTTGATCCTGGGAGAGGCGGGCGAGGGAATAAGTTTGGCGAAGCTATCTCTAGTGGAAACCTGTGGATAAGATAAAGTCTGTTTAAAACTTGAGAAACTACAGAGTGGAACGTCTTCACGAGGGACAAAGTGTAGTGTCACACTATCAGGGGTGGAAGCCACAGTAAAGTATGTACAGTAGATAACAGAGGGGAAGGTTTGAAGGAATGGGCTCAGAAATTCCCATACATCGACTGACACATGAATAAATGGTTTGATTTAAAATATTTAAACTAGAATTATCATGCTGTAGTTGCATGCCTCCGCCTCAGTGTGGTTTCAGGCTACATACTTTTTTCCAGCCTCTGTTTAACTTTTGACCACCTGAATGCACCTCAAACCACAATGGAGAACATTGAAAAACACATCCCCATTATCATACAACATTTCCATATCAGTGCTCTAACTCAGGTTACACTTACAACTAGTGTGCATGCAACACAGCCAGGCTACCCCAGAGACTCAGTGTCCTTTCATCAGCAGTGTCACCGCTTCAGTCCGACCATTAAATGATTCAGTGGGCTGTCCGAGCTCTTTGCTTAAACTTGTCACAGAGCAGGATTTTATTATTGATAAGAAGCTGAGTGCAAGATTCTCAAACATGCAAGATTTGCACACTTCTGTCAGAACCAGGACTTCTTTGTCCCACTCATCTGTCGCGAAACTGAGAAACTGCAAGAACTGTTAAATATGTCTGTGAGTGCGTGTGGGGGCGGGTGGGTGGGTGGGCCTGTGAGAGAGAGTGTGTCATTGTCTCCTCCACCCTGTGCCTGACAGAAGATGACACCTCGTAGACATGACAAAACCAGATGATGATGTTGCATCCATCCAGATCACTGAGGAGATCAGACCCGGACCTGCTCAAATCAAACTAACACTGTCCAATATATTTCTCATTCTAACACAATCAGTGTCACGAAGGGTCCATGTGCTTGTGAGATAATGAAGATAAACTGGAGTCTTCTATGATCTTTCTAGTATCTTCATTACCAATATTTCCATGTTGGGCTATAATCTTGTCTCAACCTTGGACCTCAGGCGTAGCCAGTGGACCACACACTCCACGGGCGCCGTTACAAACCCCCTCTAACTCCCCTCACACACGCAGACAGCAGCAATAAATAGTTGTCCACTTGATAACTTACTTTATTCAAACCTACATTCTCATTCTCATAACAGCAGGTTAATATAAGAAACCGGCTGTTAATCTGTCCGTAGTCAAACCAGGGAAGGAGGCCGGCTGCTCTAAGCTGGATTTGGTTGAGCAAACAAGTTCTGTGAGAGGAAATCTGTTTGCACAAATGCGAGATATCGTGCCTCGGCATGTACAGCTCTCGGTGAGGGAGCCCAGGGAAATGGCAAAATTACTTGTGCAATCCCTTTTGTAAACGGACAGTCTATCCTTCTGCGGCTCCCCCAGTCTTTCGCACACACTCTCTCGCCTTCAATTTTCCTTCATCTCAGGCTGTGGGTGTGTGTCACCAGCCTTTTTTCTCCGTAACAGAGCTCTTCTGTGTTATCTCGGCATCGGATCCCATCATACATGTCAACATACACACGTATGTAAACACAGAAGTGTCTTTCTCCCTGGAACAATGCGGTCCCTCGGTTGAGGGAGCAGCCAGGGTAGATAAGGGCAGTGACTTAAGCTCTGAGAAAAAATACACTCTTCCACTGAGCCTCGGTGAAATTACAACCCTCATCCCTGCTGACCATGAGCCCCTGAGCCTCCCCACTGGGACAAGTGTACCTGTGAGTGAGTATAAAGGTGTGTGTTTCTGTGCAACGTCAGACCACACACAGAAAAGAAATTAATATTAAATTCTGATTTTTAATGCAAGAGTAATATGTAAAAGAGCTGACTCAAGGTATAAAGCTTTCTTTTTTTAACCATCTTAAGGTTTTAGGATTTCTTTCACTCTCTGAATCAATCAGAAAACAAAAAAGAGGGATTAACAGATGGAAAACAGCATCAGTCAACAGCTGAAGATATGAATATAATTAGTCGTGGTAGAAATGCAGCTAATTTGCTTTCACCAAAATATGAGCATGGTAGGCAGATTTCCCCAAAGCAGATACTTCTTCTTTGTTCGGTTTATTAGCGGGTGGCAACCAACATTAAGGTGCATGACTGCCCTCTATTGTGACACTGGAGGTTTTATACCTGTGGCTGCTGACGTTATAGAGTCGGTGGATAAACGTTTGATCAAGATGATGGGATTTGGAGAGAAAAGGAGAGAATGACAAAGAAAGAAAAAAGGGTTTGGCTTTGGCTACAGACTGAGACCAAAATGGCTGCATATGCCACCTTTTCTAAGAGAATGAGAAAACTGCATGATGATCATTGATTTTTTCATTTTTATAACTTTTCAGCACACTGCTTTGTCATTGTTTGACTCGACCCAGCTGAACTCGTGATATTTTCCAGTAACTGTCCCATTCACAGGTTATTGGTTGACCTGCACAACTGGAGGTGATTATAAAGAAGAAATCAAAGTGAAGAAAGAGAGGAGGAGAGGGAGGCTGGAGGAGAGGGAGAGTCAATGACAGATCCAAACTCAGGCACAGCTTATAGTGAAAGTGTACACAAATTACTATTGCCGGAAAAAAAAACCCACACATATACATATAAATGCTTATGTTTTCATTTTCCATGATGTCAGTGCATTCAGCCATAATCAGTGCTTCTGAACTCTTCTGCCTAATACCAACAGAGAAACCTGTCCCACCATCTGCTGCCGCCCCCTTCCCTTTTTCTTCTCCGTACAATTACCTCCCTTTTCCTCCACATCAGGCTGAGGTGGTTTTGGCCAGAAAGCGCCTTTGTGTGCAGGAGATTGCACAACATTTGCACAAACTGTACACAGTATGTGAATACACAGATGTCTGTGTGTATATAAATGATTAAAGCCGAAGCATCTTTTCTAAGTAATGCGATTGGATTATATTGGTGTAGACCTGCTGCGTTCTGTGTAAGAATCTATGGGGATTTTTAAATCCCCGGCCTGTGACAGAAGTACCTTTGTTTCTAAGTTGCTGTGGTACCGATGCAATGTCGGTGTCCCATGCACTGCTTGCATATTCAGACAAACTGGCAGACTCCTTGGTGGGTTTGTGTGTGTGTCCGGTGCCACTAAGCATGTAATTCTCCACTAAAGGTAGCTGGCGCCGGTTAAGCACGCTACCTTGAGGTGCCATCTCCCAGAACTGAAAATTACCAAGACTGCACAGAGAAAGATTTCTATCATCTGAGAGTCACAAGGAATACTGTGTCAACACCTCATGATTCATCACTACACTTTACCAAGGTTATAATAGTTTGTGTTGAAAAATTATGCAATTAACTAAAGGAAGCTGACTGCATGACTAAAGACAAGAGAAACTCACTAGAGCGCAAACCTTCACCAAGACCCAACAGCCCCCTTAATCTCAATCAAGCTGCAGTACACACACTCATAGATATCCGTCGCCTAATCAGCCGGATTTTTAATCAAGATTCATTAAATTATTCCCCGGAAAATCATTTAAATATAAAAAATGCAATGTTAAAGGAAAGTGATAAAAGTCTGCACCAGCATTTATTCTTGCTCCATGCCCCATCTTTCCACCAAGTTTTGTTGAAATCCATTCGGTAGTTTTACCTTAAACAAACAGAAAGGAGCAGTTAAAACACAAAGATTTAGCAACAAAACACTTTGAAAATAAAAACCAAACCTCCACATACAGTACATGTGAAACAATCATAAACCATGGGTGTGGAATCAAGCGCAGCAATCACACCAGAGACCAAGCGAAATGTCAAAATCAAAGTCTTTACTCGCCAGCCTGAGGTCATACACACGATGTCAGTCAGACAAAAGGTCAAACACGAGGAATACAAACTAGTAGCAGGAATGACTGGAAAGCTTTGACAAATGGGGCTTTCAAACACGCGGCAAAGGCACCACTGAGCTCTGAAGCAGCACGAGCACGTCGCTCAAAGCTCAGCAATCGTGCAGTGGACCTCTGTGCACTGTGCCGTACACCCAGCGTGCGCTGATCCCAGTGGCAAGTGCAGCATGAATTACAGGTAGTACAGAGATAAGTGGATTCTGAATTAGAGCGAGACAAAACAAAGGCAGGAAGTCAAGCGACCATTTTTACAGTAAAAGTAAAAGTTGTTCGAGAAACAAGTTATCATTTTGTATTCATGTGGATATACAGATACAGATCCTCTCCAGTCTATCAAATACATGATATATATATATATATACGTTTATGTAACTATAAAAAGTCCAAGCGAGACGTCAC